AGAAGAAGAAGAAGAAGAAGAAGAAGAAGAAGAAGAAAGAAAAGAAGGGGTGTAACATTTGGAGTAAGTACTAACCTCGATTGTTACTATCAGTAGAGAGGCGATTGATTAATTGAATAACATTTTGTTGTGCAGATAAAGCTTCTCCAGGTGAACGAACACTAAAGTTCAGCATGTTAGGATCAATTTGTAATCCTGAATTCATACGTCGAAGTTGTGAAACGACATTAAGTGTAATTTCTTGTTCCCAAGCATCCTTGTGTGCATTGAATTTTTCCAACATCCTTTGTTGCATCCTCTCTTCCATTTCCTCCATTTTCTGTTGCATCCTGTCCTCTGTAACATTTAAAGAGGGTCCAAAATTTTCCATTTTCCTTTTTAAGATGGTCTTGGTAACCGCACGTCCATACAATCTTATATGACCTGGATGCTTAGGTCCCATTACAGACCTATGCAGCTGGGAGTACAAACTGTGTTTGTACATAAGCATATACTTTAATTTTTGGAAGTGTTGTAACATTATTACCAGATTTGGAGTTAGTTACAATTAGTTAGATTTTGTTAGTTAGTTCAGGAGGCAAAACTTATACTGCAGAAGAATTTCAAGATTAAAGACTTGAGATACTTCTTGGGAATAGAGTTGGGGCATTAGTAAAGATAGTGTAAAAAAGTTTAAATGCTAGACCTCACGGATTAGAGCAAAACTTGTCTTGCCAGCAGTGTGTGGGTGCTTCAATTTTTTTCGATTCTCAATGTTGGTTTTGGATTGTTTTTGCAAATAAAATGAGTCAATACATTTGGCAGCATCAATGAAAATATAACTCAAGATTTGGCAGCATGGTTTGTTTCTCCAAAACTCATTGCCCCCAAACAAGTGCTGCAGAAAAGGAGAAATCAAGTGCTGCAAACAAGTGCTGCAGAAAAGTAGAAATCACCTTAACTAGATATGTCTAACCTACCTATAGCACCCAAAACTGGAATAAACAACCAGATTATGAGATTCCCAATCACAGTTGTGACAGAAAACAGAACTGTCCGTACAACACAATATAGAAGCCGGAGAAGAATCACAGAGTAACCAACGTGTATGCTTAGTGAAAAGATGATTATTGGAATGAACTTCACGGCCACAGCTAAAACAGAGCTTAGCAGAATCTGCTCTGCAGTACAAAAGTGTATTATTTTCACCACAGAGTAACCAACGTATATGCTTAGTGAAAAGCTTATTGAATTCACAAGATTAGAGTAAATATTAATCCTTTTCTCAAGTTTACCTTGTGGGAATCAGAGTTCCAATAGTTAAGAAGATCCTTAAAGTGAGATTCCGAAACATCTACCGGCCTATTCTCCATTCGAAGCTCGTCATTGGCATAGTATTCAAAGTAATCCTTCTTCAATTGATTCTTATACTTTCTCCAAGCAACCTGAATTGAATGAAAAACCCATGGTTTCGCCTCCTCGAGGATGTCATATTTTGCCTACAAATTTGGTGCTATTAGATTAGTGTAAAAAAAATAAAATATCATCCACGCTTATTGAAAATTGAGAACTTCAAACCTTGATATATTTACACATATCATCTTTTGTGTCTAGTTTCCTCCAATTAAATATATTAAGCGGACAAAAGGTCCCATTCCTTGCCAATGTGCCGAGAAAGCTACCCAACTCTTTTACAACTTCATTCTCATCGAATGAAAAATAATAATAAATGCGTTAGCATACCAAATTCTGTTAATCAGGCAAAGAGGTATACAAGATCAGCTGCATTTTGGATTTTTTTTCTTTTGAAAATCCATTGTCATATAATACAGTTATAATTGTCTATACCATGTATCCAAACCACGTTAAGAAAAGCAGTCCACCAAAAACTTGAACTGCAAAGTCTTTGTTGACCATTTATGATAAATCACTCTGCTTATTCATACTGCATATACACAGAAGGTTTTAAAAAAGAAATAAAGAAGGAACAAATAACCCTTTACGCAAAAAAACTATTAGACATTAGATGTATAACACAGAGAAAATATTGTCTTATAGTAAACAACCAAGTGCGGAAAGAAAATTGAAATACTCCAACCTTAATGACTCCTGCAGTAATTGATGCCAAGTGTAGCAGTAGGGAAGTAATTTAATTTACAGCATTAATTATGCAGTGGAAAATTTCCTTCACAATTTTCCAAAGGACAATTATTCCTGCTTTTTTTCTTTGACAGAAACTGATTATCTAACTAAATTATTTAAGACTAAGACTTTGTCAGTATAATATAACTTAACAATCTACTAATAAGAAAACCTAGCTAGCTAGTATTTAGGTAGACATTTGTTGGCAGGCAGCAGCATCTTCTTAAATAATAAATAATTTACTCATGTTGAATTGATACCTAAAAGATTATCAGTTCAAATTATTCATGTCGACACGCATAGTCTTTGTACTAACAAATACCCAACTGCTCTCTGTTTGCCCTTGTCTCCATTTTATTTACCTAAGTTCTTACTTGAATTTGGTGACACATGTCTCATCATTTACTTGATTTCTACATGAGAGTGAAATTATCAGCACAATATTCCCCCAGAAAAAAAGATCACAACACAAGAAAAATTGTGTATTTCCAATCAATAACACTACATCGCTCAAATACCCCAAAAATAAAATTAAAATCAATTAATCTGGAGTAAAGGAACTTACGATGATATTTATTCCACAGCTACCAGTGGCAAATTCTTCTTCAGTGAGAAATGAAATCTGCGAATTAGGGCTCAACTGTTGAGAAATTGCAAAACCAGTAAAAGAAGAGCATGCGAAATAAATCAGAAATTTATGAGAATTGAGCAAAAACCTAGAATTAGGGATCTGTGAAAACTTGACGTATTAGCGGAGCTTAATCGAGAAAAAAACCTAAACTTATTGGATGATTCCAATTGTTTGAAGGAGGAGGTTGTTTATGGTGCGAATTAGGGCTCAACTGTTGAGAATTGTTTGCTGAGATTTGGTGGGTTTAACAGAGGTTGGCAGAGGGACTGTCGCCGGCAGTGTGTCACCGGCGTGGGACTGTCACTGGCGTGAGTGAGGTTTGGCAGAGAGATTGGGTGTGTTTGGTCTTTGGCAGAGAGATTAGAGATGCTCAATAATTTGGCCTTCTCCTTTTAATTAATTAGTAGTACTATTACATAAAAAATACAGGTAAAAAAAATAGAATGTAAATAATTTGGGGATTTTGGCGCGTTTCACGAAAATTCAGGGGGGGAAATAATTAAGTGGAATTAATAACCGTTCCCATTAATTTTCTTTCTTATATCCGTTGCAATAGATTCGTCTATAGGAACGGTTAAAAGAGACGTTGCAAAAAAAATAGTTATTGGAACGGTTTCCATGCAAGTGCAACGGTTTTATGATTAAAGTGTGCCGAATGTACCCCCATGCTTTATTGGAATTGTTCACCCGTTGCCATAAGCCCTCTATAGCAACGGTTTATAAACTGTTATAAAACATTTGTTGCCATAGGCGAATTCTCCAGTAGTGAGGATTGTTAAACCGACCACAACCCTGGAATCTATATCTCCCTCGGTTACACGTTTAAATTTCGCAATAGTAGTTGTAATAGAAAAATCAAACTCTTGATTATCTTGGACAATTAACTAATTTTAGCTTTCTTAGTTAACGGTTAATCTAAGTCTGTGTGGGTTCAACATCCGACTTTCGAGTCACTTTATTACTTGATGGCCACGTATACTTGCGTGTACTTGGGGAA